CAATATTATTTTTGTCAAATTTAATCATTTTTTCGCGGCCTCTTTTCTTTTCTGTTTTGCCCCTGCTCACCAACATCCTTATCCAATCCATTCGATCACATTCGTTCTCACGGGACAGACGCTCGCCAGCACCCCGCCGACATCGCCACGGCACGGATCGACGGCGTGAAGTGATGCATCGGGTGCGGTGTATCCTTGTGAGGCCAACGGAGGAAGAGGAGAGGCGAATGGTGGCCTGTGCGGGTAGATTGGGCGAGCTCGAGCTGGCTCGGCTATGGCGGCGGCGGCAGCAGATGTGGGCGCTGGAGCAAGCAAGAGAGCCTGGGGAGGGGCGGTGTGGCGGCAGCGTGCCTCTGCGGTGTCGAGGGTGGCTTTTATAGGCCAAGGAGGGGAGGGAAGGGGCAAGGACCCGAGCTCGGGGCATGCCATCCATGGCGGTCTTGACCCGGCACCCGCGAGACCGGGGGAAGGGAGCGGCTGCGGCTGGCGAGGGTGGAGCGGGGACTCGGTGATGGAGTTGGACCGAGGAGTCGGAAGGGGTCCGTGCGGCTTGCTCGGTCCCTACGCGGCTATGGCGGAGACGACGGGATGAGTCGGAGGAGGGGGATGACAAGACGGGCCCACTCATCAGCAGGCGGTGAGCAGGGGCAAAACGAGAAAGAAAAGAGGCTGCGGAAAAAAATTAAATTTGGCAAAAAAAAATACTCAAAGGGCATTCTAGTGAATGTGTCCGCACCCTTCTCCCTCAAACGACTACCTCGTCGCCTTTTGCGGACAAACGAAGCCAAGCCCGCGTGAGGTGTCAAAAATTCCAATTATCTCCTCTAGGAATTCCTCCCCGATCCACTCCAGCTCCTCCGTCGCCTCATCTCCGCCTCCTTAAAGATGGCATCTCGCCCGTGGATCTCCGCCTTCTTGCTTCTCCCGCTGCCCGAATCTCTTGTCGTCGCCTCCACCGGACCCCGCTGCTCCTCCACGCTTCAAGAACACGCCCCCGCCTTGTCGCTCTCATGAACATGCCCCGCGGCATGCCTGCCAGCCGCTTCGCTTTTGAGCATATACGCTCTAAACCATAGTGCATTACAAGAGATATGAAGATTGAGTTATTCATCTCCTTCTTATATATATATGATATTTGTCCTCAGGTCCCAAAGATGTTAGGTGCCTCCTGGGCGAGTCTAGTGGATAATCAAGCCCAACATAGCTATTTCGTTGCCGCGAAGAACTATCCTCTGGGCTAAGGATGGTGCCTAAACAACCCAAGGTTGCTTACCTACATCCTTGCCCATCGCCATGCCCGCGAGCATGCGGGAACAGCTTGTGCCCGTGCCTCTTTACTCCACCTCCACCTCCACGGCCACCGCAGTGCCGCACCCTTTCTTCGACGACTACCTATGTCCAAAGAGAAACTTGCTTTGTCAGCTTGCGAGTTGTCCAAGAGGACTCTTGGGTGTTATCTAGTCCCAAGGTTTCCATTGCGAGTGTCCAAGATGCCACAAATACTAGGATTTTCTCGATGCGACTCTTCTCTCGCCTCCATTGAGTTTCTGGTCAATGAGGCTACGATGGAGCCACGGTATATTATTGAAAGGCCTATCCTGCTCACATTCAGCTTGGAGAAGCGGCTAGTGCCCCGGCATCATGTCATGAAAGTGCTGCTCCTCGCTTGCTGAAGAACATACGAACCTTTCTCGCTAGCTCATGTTACAGAAGAAGCATTCAAATCCCAGATACAGTCGCTTGGACTCTTCATGGCCTTGCAGGTGCCTCTCTGCAGCTAGTGCTAGTATTGTGCTCTCTAGAGTTGAATCTTCATCTCATTCTGTGGGTCAGGTTGATGGTGGAGCTGCAACTTATCCTCATTAGCGGCTGTCCACTGTGGGTGAGCCTTGAGAAATTCTGATTTCTGCAATATAACCACTAGTGATGACTGATTGGTCATAGTCCCAGATGTTGTTACAACTATTAAACAACCCAGGTTGTTTACCTACAACCCGGAATGCTTAAAGAGTTTTTGCGCACATTCTGTGGGTTTTCCCACTTCTGGGCTGTTCATGGCTGAAGATTATCCTTAACTTCGTTTTCTTATGTGGATAAGTTTCGTTGTTGAACAGTTGTTGAAGAGGACTGAGATACTAAAACCTGAAAATTTGCATGTTGTATGGGAAGACTGATACAAGATACTAGGATTTTCCTTTTGGCTGCCTGTGATATAGATTGAGTTTCTGGAAATAGGCTCAAACTGGAGCCACGTATATTATTGAAAGGCCTATCCTGCTGCAATTCAGCTTGGAGAAAATTTTTCAAGATTCCCGCATCATGTCATGAAAGTGCTGCAGGAAAAGGGATTGCTGAATAGCAATACGAACCTTTTCTCATTAGCTCATGTTACAGAAGAAGCATTCAAATCGAAGTTCGTCTACAGTCGCAAGGACTCTTCATGGCCTTGCAGGTGCCTATGCTGCAGCTAGTGCTAGTATTGTGCTCTCTAGAGTGTAATCTAAACGTCTCATTATGTGGGTCAGGTGGATGGTGGAGCTGCAACTTATCCTCATTAGCGGCTGTCCACTGTGCAGGTTTTCTCAATTCTGATTTCTTTATAATATTATAAGCAGCTCATGATGACTGATTGGTCATAGTCACTAAGCGTTAATTTTTTATAATTACAACTATTAATGAAGGAGCTGTGTTTGGCTTATTATCGATACTTAATGCACATTTTGTGGGTTTCATCTTCTGCCTAGCACATGGCTGAAGATTATCCTTAACTTCGTTTTCTTATGTGGATAAGTCTTTGTTGTAGAACAGTATTTGTAACGGAATGAGATACTAAAACCTGAAAATAAATTGCATGTTGTATGGGAGACGACTTGATATGAGAGAGTAGTAATATAGCCCTTTTGGCTGCCTGTGATATATAGAACGTGCCTCTTCTGGAACTAGTCTCAAACTTGTGTATTACCATTTCGTTTAGTTTTGTGAATCTAAGTAGGAATTTCTCACGGAATGTTTCTACTTTTATGCCTGTGCATGATAGTAGCACGCATAGTACTATTTATAAGGTTTAGCAGCTCATATGATGGGTTTACGCCATCGACAAAACTTTACTAATTTATAAGGTTATAAGCAGCTCATATGATGGGTTTGCTCCATCTACAAAAGTTCACTAAGCGGGATCATGGGCCGATGTAACCACCGATGCCCTCATCCCTTGAGAACTTGTGTGATCGATTGCCAAAAAAGGGTACCTGCTTGGGGCGGGATCATGGATGCCCTCATCCCTTGAGAACTTGTGTGATCGATTGCCAAACTATACCTGCTGGCCTGGCTGCTGCGTTTGCTTTGGAAATTGTTAGTGTTGCCCATCTGAACAATCTGAACCATGTCATGTACACTGCTAATTAGTTGCCTCAGCTTATGTACGTTGGTTCATGACGGCTTGAAAAATTGCACGCGTTATAACTGCAATGCGAGAGCTGCAAAATGTGGTGTGGTCCATCATGATTTTTGTGAAGGGGGGAGTGGCAAGTAAACCAAAGACTCACCCTATTAAAACAGCTTATAGCTATATATGTCATAGCGAAGAAAGGGTATGAATCTTGCAACTTGCACCATAAGTTCTGAATATGTACAGCATAAACAAGCGGCTAATATACAAAAACATGAACAAGAGCTGTCTATCAACAATGTACTTCTGCCACCAGTAGAAGACTGCTCATATAGAAACTGGCGAAAAGATTGCTCTTTATATGTAAAATTGTATGTGACCAACTCTTTTGCGAGGAGTATTCCAACATACATCAAGAATCAAGGTGTTCTCCCTGAAGATCATCCTCATGAAAGAATAGATGTGACCTATATCTTCATGATGATCTCTGAATTTGTCCATGCGCCAACAACGGTGTTCCAGATATTGTGGATAGTACCAGCTAGAATCATTGGTATGTCCTAAACTGGTTACATAAGAGTATATAGGACTGGTCAAAATGCCATTGAATACAGTTAGAACATAATTTAAGGGGAAGGGAAATGAATAAAGAAAAATAACTGGTAAATGGAAGTGTCATGGACTACAGGTGCTGCATATCCCTCTGTGATGCAGTATAAGCTGGGTAATAGTGAGTCTGTGAGTTATTTGGAAACTTGATGTAATGTTATGTGCAGTACAACGACAGAACTGATATAACTGGGTGATAAACATCATAATTTTGTCATGATGTTATGCAATGGATAAGGGATCCGTCCCTGGTATTCCAAAAAAAAAGGGCGTGGAGGATGTGTGGGTTGGGAGGGGGGAGGCATGGTCCGGCCCCAAAGGGTTTGGCTACTTGCATTGTTATTCTTTAGACTCTATTTGGTGAGTAAATTTCTTTGGGTTTAATTTTTTTTTCCAAAAGAGGACTTACAGTAAATCACATTGATATTGGAACTCCAATTGTTGAGTGTTGATTTTCATTACGGAAAAAACACTCGGGAACACTACATATTTTGATTTAACATGCACTGCACAGATGCAGGATGAAGAACCAATAAGGATTGCCTGAGGTTACTCTAAGACTCGAAAAAACAGCATCCCATTTCATGTCATTTGCAAAATTGTATTTGACAGAAAAGAAAAGAACCATAGATTGTGCTGGCAGTGCACAACCTTTTCTTTGGTACCCTCATCAGGCCATCACACAAAAAATCAGAACCCCTTTACCCAAAAATTTCAAAGGCAAACAAATATTTGTCACTGTTCTTTGAATGTGTATAAGCTCATGAGCTATCGGTTACTCTCTCCATCCCAAATTATAGGTTGTTTTGGCTTTCTAGGTACATAGTATTTGCTATGCACCTAGATATATGCTATGGCTAGATACAAGGTAAAAATTATGTACCTAGAAAAGCCAAAACAAAAAGTAGGCAATAGATCACAATTGCAAATTATTATCACCAACCGTTAGATACAATACAAGAAATACCTTTGTAAGAACGCCTTTAGTTGCCACATCTATGGTTTATCCCAGTCCAAGTTCCTTCTTCAGCTTCTCGAGAGCGGCCTCTATTTCAGAGAGACCATCATCAAAGCTGTTTGTTGATGTCTTGTTGTCCTTAGCATTTTTTGCCTGCTGTCCAAACTGGGTGTATGGGTCATTTCTAGTGACGTCCTCAGGGCTGGAGTCATCAATCTTCAATTCATTTTCCAGAAATTCTACGAATTCCTCGCCAATTGCCTGATTGAGCAGAACGCAGTGCAGGGTTCACATGGCATTCTCCAGAAAACTATAACTAGTACTGGCCTTATCTATGCTATATTGCTGCATGGCAATTCTTAATAGTGACAAACTCACAATAATCGATATAGTTGAAATGTTGAATAAAGATAACTTACAGCTAACTCTTCCCAAAGGCTTTTAGGTTTCTGATTTGAATTCAACCCAGCTTCCCAGTTCTGGAATTCTGCTTGCAGATCTTTAAGGAAATCCGCTGCAAAAGGCACAATCACTATGGTCTTAAAGTCACAGTAGAGGTGAAGACACTTTGGTGAACTGCACTAGAAAGCCTTATATCTCCACATGACAATCACTAAGGTCTCAAATTTCCAGTGGAACAATGGAACCTCACTTGACCCCTGGTCACATCAACGATCAACCATATGTAATGTAACGCACGTTTACTGACAGCAACGAGAGAATTCAGTACCAAATCCATAGAACGGCTCTTCTGCAGCAGCTGATTTGCTCTCCCTGGAGCTGGAGGACCAGGACGAATCTGAACTGCTGCTCGCGTACTTGGATCGACTCTCTGAGTTCATCAGAGTGTTGTAAGCGTGCTTGATCCGCAGAAACTTCTCCTGAGCATCGGGCTGCATTGACGACAAGATCCACGAGGCTGGCGGTGAGCAGAGTCATCCATCCCCAAGGTCCCAAGAAATCCCGTAGAGATCAAACAGAAATGCGAAGGTAAAGAGCGCGAGCATGCAGCAGGGGTTCGGTTGCCACGCGCACCTCCTTGTTGACGTCTGAGTGGTACTTGAGCGCGAGGCGCCGGTACGCGCGCTTGATCTCGTTGGGCGCCGCCGACGGCGACATGCCAAGCACCTCATACGGGGACTCCCTCCGCCCGCCGCCGTCGGCACTAGCGCGCACCCTCACGCTTTCACGCCGCCAGCGAGGCTTCGGGCCACGGCACGGGAGGCGCGCGGAGGAGCCCGGGCTAGAGGAGGCAGCGACAGCTATGCTGACAAAGGGAGGTGGAGGCCTAGGCGCAGCGAGGCGGCCGCGTGAGGCGGCGAGTGGCAGGGGCGGACACGGAGCCGCGGCCTGCAGCTGTAGCGCCATGGCGCAGCAGGGGCCGCCGGAGGCAGAGGAGGTAGCTGGATTTTGCCGCCTTTTGAATGGCTCGCGACGAACCGTACGGACGGGAGAAGGCAAAATCACCCGCCGTCCAGAGTTCACGAAAAAGTCCACTCCCTCAACTTCCGCCGTCTAGAATCCAGAGAAAAAGTATACGTTACCTCTATCAGATTTCACAAAAATCCATTTTTTCTCTCTAAATTTTAAAACCAGACAAAACATCTCCCTCAATATTTAAAACCATTCATCTTACATCCCTTCCTTGCTATAAGCAGCTTTGCAGGTGATTTTGTCTTTTTCTTTTTTATTTATTTTGATTGAATTTTTGAAAAATTATAGTAAATCATAGAAAAATCATAAAATGGAAAATCCAATTTTGTTGGACTCTATATGAGTAGATCTACACAGTGAACATATAATATGATAGGTTTAAATATAAAGTTTTTGTTGTGCCTTTAAATCTATGTTTTTCTGTAATTAATTGGAATAATTCATAGCTGTAGTTATATGGTTCTATTGTGATGAAATTTTTATGCTGGGCTAATTATTGTATGATTGAACTGTAGTAAAAATTTCATACTCGTTGAATCATGTATAGCTTAGTTATAGATTTAGCTATACATGATGCATAGAACGCCAGCCCTTTTGGTAGCCCAGTAAGCGGACAATACGGCCTTCTCTCAGCCCAGTTGGGCAGCTCCGCCTCCGTTCCCTGCATCGTCGGACAGCCTGATGCGCAAAGCAGCTGGTGGCCGACCCTACGCCGCCGCCATGATGCGCCTTCGAACTAGCCTCTTCCCTCTCCTCCGCGCCGCCTCCCCGCTACCCTCCCCGATCCACCACCGCCATTGTCCCCACGCCCTTCTCCCTCGAGTAAAGATGGCAACAGGGCTCCGATACCCGATACTCGACGGGTATTTGATCCATTAGAGACGGGGATGGATCATATCTTTACCCACGGCATCTAAATGGGCAAGAATCCATCCCCGACGGGTATAGCGGATACGAGAACATTTCCTGTTTACACATCTCCGTTACCCGTTGGGGAACCCGACTATTTGAGCTGTCATGCGAGTATTAGGTCCAAAGAAGCTCAACATAGGTATTTTGGCCCAAATCTGAACAATCATATATATAGTTTGTGTGTTCTAGAAACCCTAGTTTAATTTTTTCTCACCATCTCCGCCAGCAGCACAAGCACGCCTGCCTCACGAGCGCTCGTGTCCCTCGCTTCCTCAGTTCGGTCTCTCTATCATCTTTGCTCGTTCTTCCTCGCAACCTCGCCCTTCTCCTCGGCATCTCCGATACTCCGACACTTATACCCGGGTGAAGAAGAAACGTCTCTGATTGCAAAGCTGCGACCCCAAGTATCCTTGTTTATCGGGTATGCAGTACTCGTCGGGTATCTGTTACTCGACCGATGCCCGATAGGTATGAGGATGAACAAAATCTATACCCAAAATAGTTAACGAGGACCGAAACAAGATAAATTCTCGTAGCGGGAAAGAGAACGTTCGGACGATATCCGGACGGTTACATCCCGTTGCCATCCACACCCTCGAGGACTACCTCGTCGCGTCCTGCGGCCTCACCCCAGCCCAAGCCCGCGAGGTGTCCAAGAAGGCGTTCCGCGACTTATCCAGAGCACACAGGAGACCATCGGATGAGCCCTCCTCCTCCCGCATCAACTCCGCCTCCAACCCCGATGCTATCCTCGCCCTGCTCTACGGCGCCGGCCTCTCCCGCGACGACATCGCCGCCGTCGTCTCCGCGGACCCGCTGATCCTCCGCACCTCCATGAAGAACATCGCCCCACACCTTGTTGCTCTCCGAGACCGGCTCGGTCTGTCTACTCCCGAGATCGCTCGCTTCCTCGTGGTGGGCTCACACGCTCTCCGCGACTGCGACGTCATTCCCAGGCTCGAGTTTTTCATCTCCTTCTGCGAGCCCTGAGAGGTTAATCAAGCCTAACATTGCTTTGTTACGTCAGTGGGGTGTTCGAGATATTGCTCAGCTTTGCACAGACAATGCGTGGGTGCTTACCTTCAAGCCCGAGCGCGTGAAGGGGGGGTTTTCCTGCGGGCGCAAGAACTTGGGATGCCTCCTACCTCGCGGATGTTCAGGCATGCAATGGCCACCATCTCCCGTAATTCCAAGGACAGGGTTGCCGCCAAGCTTGAGTTCTATAAGAGGACTCTTGGTGTCTCTGAATCTGAGGTTTCCACTGCAATGTCCAAAATGCCAGCTATATTAGGATTCTTTGACGAAATTCTTCTTCGCAAGATTAAGTTCCTGGTCAATGAGGCTGCAATGGAGCCACGATACATTGAAAGGCCTATCCTGTTTGCATTGAGCCTGGAGAAGCGGCTAGTGCCCAGGTATTATGTCATGAAGGTCCTGTGGGAAAAGGGACTGTTGGATAGCGATATGAGCTTTTACTCAGTAGTTGCACTTGGAGAGGATACTTTCAAATCGAACAGCCTGTTCGGCTGGTGCTGATACGATCGTATACGATCGTGGATTATTACTGCTGGCTGGTTTGGTGTGAGAGAAAAATACTGTTCTGACTGGTTTTTACAAGCGAACAGGCTGCTTCCAGATACTTATGCTGCAGCTCGTGCTGGCGTTGTGCCGTCTAGAATCTAATTTTTGCATCTCATTTTGTGTCTTTGGTGAATGGTGGAACTGCAACTCATGCTCATTAGCGGCTGTTTCTAATTTGTCTGCAATAGAAGCACTGGTGATCGCTGACTGCTCATAGTCCACGTTTAAGTTATGGCTATTTATGGAGCTGTGTTTAACTTATTCTGGATCTTTAGTACACATTTTGTTGGTTTCATCTTCTGCCTAGCATGACTGAAGAATATCCTTTGTTTACTTTTTCTTTCATAAATTAATCTTTATTATTGTAGAATTTATTAAGATATTTGGAATTTGCCAGTATTAGCTTATTAACATTTTTATCAGCATGTTCTATAGGACGGCCATCCTTGAAGCTGAAAGCACATAAGCGTGCAAGCAGATAAATCACCAGCACCTCTCACACCGAAGTTAACAATCGGATTCAGATAAATCATGAAAACATCAGAAAATGAAATTAACTATCGTGCAAGAGAATTCGCAAGTAGGCCCTGTTCGCTTCGCTGAAAAGCCATGGCTAAAAGTATTGTTCGCTGATTTATTGTGAGAGAAAAATATTATTCCTTCGCTGAAACAATACGGCTCATAAGACAAGTGAACAGGGCCTTAGTGTTTAATTTACGAGCATCACATAATACAATATATGTCATCGTCTGTGTCTCAGAAAGCAAACTCTGAACCAAAATGCAGAGCACATTATCAGAACCGCTACTGAACCATACAGGATGATGTAGTGTGTGCACAGGGCAAAAGACATGCATCCATCAGGTCTGCCCTTGCAGCCTTCCAGACCCATCACCAAGCCTAAGAACTGGAATTGGTATCTGAAGACCATCAAAACTTAAGCATCAATGGCGGATCCTTCTTTCCGCTGCCAGAATCAGAATCGTCTTCCTGAGCAGGTCTTGCGGCTGCCCACGCGCGAAGTGGCGGTTCAAACATCTTTCCTGCAACATCTGGTGGCAGCTGTTGGGGCGCATCCTCTCCAGGAAGCACAACGAGGCCCTTCTCCCTGAGAGACGAAGGCTCGTTATAGCACTCCTTCCAGAGCGAGTCCACCAGATGCCGCTCCTCGCGAGCGGCATGGAGATCGTCAGAGTCCATGGCGCTGATTCTGTCGATTCGGCTCTTGAGGATATCTTTCAGCTTGTCTTGGTCAGGAAGAGCGTTACCAGCTGTCTTGTCCTGTGCCAACTCAAGGAGGCCGCTTAGAGCAGCTTCGCGCACCAAGGAATCATCACTGGACGCAAGGTGAATCACCAGCTTTGGAAGACCAAGCTCCGTAGCAACACTCCTGTCTGCCTTGTTGTTGTGCAGCAGGTATTGTATGAGATTGAGAGCTTTCCTGCATCGATACAACAGAACTATGTCATTCACATTTTGCACAAAAAATCGGATTTCAACTGCAGAAAAATTCAGCTAATACAAATCGGATTGAAGTTTAGAAAAATATAGACTACCACAAGTATATAAAACATCTTTAAACCAACACTACTATTAACAAGGAATTTCAGTACGGCATGGGTAGTATGACTCTGTTAGTACACGGCTGCTTGTTCATAGGTCATTTACTCATTTAGGATTCCAGGGATAATTTTGGTAGGGATGTGCCCTGTCAGATCACTCCATCTACCCCATGTCTACTGTCTATGACACCATTTTAAGAAAAAATAACCTGATCGTACAACATGTATTGCAGAATGCTGGGTGTGCTATTATGATGACATACCTTTGAAGTCTGGCATCATCAGAACCAAGAGCATCCTTCAATCCAGCATAGCCATTTCCCAGGCGAAATGCGGAAATTCCGGGCTGGTTATGACGAATTAGAGCTGCAAAATAATTGTATGGAGTTTTGTTAGCATGACCAACAGAAAATACACTAAAAATTAACTGCACAGTTTGCACGGTTCAATCAAAGGATTATACTCCACATGATACTGAGTGATACTTACAAGATATGGCTCCTAAAGCTTTTGTGCGTGCATTTGTACTTGGGTCTGATTTGAAGTTCGTCAACAGTGGCTCGAGTCCATTGGATTCCATGACAAGTTGCTGACTCTTGGGATTATTCTGCACAATTGTACTAACAACTTCTGCTGCCTTTGCTCGGATGCCAGCATTTGAATTTTTCAAGTAACCAAGCAGAGGATCCAGCCCACCAATAGAATGTAGATCTGTTTGAATAATGTATATGCATTAAGAGTTGGGACTTGTACAGTAACCACTAGGACAAGCATTTACAAGGAAGTGATGATTAACTATGTATCTTACCATTTGCCATGTCAATGGATTCAACGTGCTCCTGTAGCTCATCCAACATATCTGAAAATAGAGTGAGTAATTTTTTATTCAAGAGCCAACACCTATAACTTAATAATAAGGATGATAAATATCAATGTCCATAAAGTCAAATTTCAAGGAGGATACACAACCAAGTAACATTGGAAACTTCGTTTAGCAATTAGCAGGCAAGTGACAGCACATGAACACCATCAATCATGAATTCCTCATATGACCATGACCATGAACTATGAATTTCTTTTGCAAATGAAACATGATACTGCTAAGGCCCTCCAATGTTAAATCATTTGGCAGATCAATTAACAGCCTAGACCATTACAATCACACGGTTTCTTTGTTTATATTGTGTTTCCACACCCTGCTGCACATAATAAGTGCCGCGTGCATGCTGATGTGTTAAATACCCTCATGTTCCTTTGGCAGATCAATTAACAGCCTAGACCATTATAATCACACAGTTTCTTTGTTTATTGTGTTTCCACACCATGCTACCACACCTTGCTGCACATAATAAGTGTTGTGTGCATGCTCATGCTTTAAATACCCTCATGTCCCTAGTCCAACTATCAGTGTGAGGAGGCCGTCTTCACGTGATTATTTTTTCTAAACATATCAGCAATTTAATCGTCAATGAACAGGCTTTAAAATGAGGATCTTCACCGATTACTAAACATATCAGCAATAAAGGTCAATGATTTAAAAATGAGCCATTTTTGTAGAGAAACTAAAAATCAACTAAGGAAGCACCGAACAATACCTTCAATGTTCTCTGGGGTCACACCCTGAGACTGCAAGACATCTTCTGGAGTTTTCATCACCTGAGTGATCTCCTTCATCCTCTTCACGACATCAATCGTGTTGGCTTGCATAGCCTCCATGAACCATTTTCTGTCTTCCTCGCTGCAGAACCAACCCAATGAAATTAAGAACCACACTATAAATTTATCCCACTTCTCTTCAACTAAGTGCAGCAATTTTGGAAACAGATATTAAACCTACTAGCCACACAAATTAGGGGGGAAGAAAAGGAACCCGTAGCAAGACAGCAAATTTGAGCATATGAAGTCTGACCGCTAAGAATCTAGAGTACAGAGAGTACGACAGCAAAATCTAAGCATATGAACTGATGAACACGGAGTCATTAGGGTTTGTGACACAGGACGAGAGCAAAGGGAGGAAGCAGGGGATCTGAACGTGGGGGTCGCAGACCTGAGAGCACGCGGCGGTTTGGTGCCGTCTCCGTGGGCGATGCTCCACTTGAACAGGCCGTTCCAGTCGGGGCCCCCATCCTTCGCCATCCCCCTTGTTCTTCTTCTGCAGCTGGTGCTGCGAGATGAGGCGAGACGAACTGTAGGGTTCTGCTCACGATAGGTGCGGGATTACTTCAGGCGAGATCGATAGGGTTCTAGGCTTTCTCTCTGTAAAGCTCTCTTGTCTGCTTTTGTGCCGATTTTTTTATTTTTTAGCCTTTTTTTTACAAAAAATTTCACAAATATACATCTGTAGGTAAGATTTCAAAATCTATATCTTTAACTCGGCATCAGTACACGTCTTGGCGCCATCGTTGCTGGTCGCTGAGCTCTTGGGCTCGACGCAGACGTGGCGGTGACATGACAGATGCAGCTCGACACCTGTAGATCTTGACGTCGAGCTCGGCGCCGTGCTTACTGGCGTCAAGCATGTCTATGTATGGGCCCTCATTTCCTTTCTCTCTTGCTCTCTCTCTCTCTCTCGCCAGCCCTTGCCCCGCCCGAACCAAAGGAGCCACCACCCGCCGCTTGGCACATGCATGCATCATCATCGCCGCGTGCCGTGTACCCCCACGCCTCGCCCGTCATCAGCGCCCCATGGCGCGCGCTACATCCATCGCCGTGGCCATCGCCGTGTCGGCCGCCACGCGCCTTACGCCTGCCCACGCCCTGGCCATGCAGCGGCCATGAGCCACCGCCGCACCCTAACCGCCCATGCCATGCCATGCCATACCTTTTGCTCACGCCAAGCCTTCGGCCTCGCCTTTGTTGCCGTGACTGTGTTGTAAGTACGCACGCCATGCCATCGTGTGCCTTGCCACGCCACGCCCGCCATGCCGACCTCATTGCTGCGGGCGCGCCATCCATCCCATCCCACATGGCCACTGCCCTGCGGCGCCTCGGCCGCTTTGCCACCGTCGGCCTGCCGGCTCGTCGGCCCTCACTTCGCCACGCCGTCCATTCACGACGATTGTCGACGTCCATGACTCATTCGTCGACAGATAAAAAAATTATGAATATGCAATGTACATACTTAGTTAGCTTTGATTGTAGTGTAGTAGTTTTGGCATTGGTTATTTATTAGTTAATGTGATAACTCAGATAGTTGATTTAGTTAGTGATCTAGTGAGATAGATATGTAGATAGATAGAAACATACATATATATGTACATACATATAGTTAGATAGCTACTTAGATAGGTAGTTATATATTTAGTTAACTAAATAGGATCTAGCTATTTAGTGAGTACACTGTATATATATACGTAGTTATTATCTTATTTACTTAGTTTGTAGTTAGAAAGTACTTGTTAGGTAGTATCTATTGTCTAATTTGGACTAAAGGACATGTGTTTCGTTATGTGTTTGAACTAGATGGACAACCTAGTGACCATATATCATGGAGGCACCGTTGAATACGATCGTTATGAATATGTTGAGTTTGTTGATATGCAAAGCGTGCCTATGCTATTCAACGATAGGCCTTCATTTAGCGAGATGGTTGCAAGGGCTCGGGAGGAACTGCATTGCCTTGGAGATGATGATGATGGCATTGCAGTTGAGGGTATACTGCATCTAGGTTCTTCTCCCAACATCCTCAAGCGAATGATCTCAATTGGGTGTGCGGATCAGTGGGAGAACTATGTGAAATCGGCTATGAAGAGCCAGCTGTAATGTTTGGACGTGGTTGTGCGTCGGGTGTTAGTTGATCCATGTTGATGTTTCACCACCGATAGCCTGCCACGGGGGTACCCGGGGCAGTTTGTTCGGGCTTCAGCGTATGCAGAACTCGACGGTTAACGCAAGAGACAGTCGATTTATCCTGGTTCGGACCCTCGATCGGGATCGAGTAATAGCCCTACGTCCAGTCGGCGTTAGCCTTTGTGTTCGATTGATTGTCCAGTGTCCTCTCTCCAGAAACCCCGCCCTCCTTGATATAGTCAGGAGGCCAAAGTCCTAGTCGGTTTATAATGAGAGTTTATAGTAGGATTACAGAATAATACTAGTACTAAGATTACATGGGAAGGATCCTAGTTAAACTAGATCTTCTCCCTTCCTTGCGGGGTATCCCGTGGGTCCCGCATCGACAAGCCCCCGAGCACTTCATGGTTAAGCTCTGGAAGCCTCGTCTTGTTCCTTCAGGTCTTGCCGAGTAGGAACAAGCGTCGTCCGAGTGCTTTCTTGAGCGAAACCATGTAGCGCTTCTTGGTATCTTCGAGTGGTTTGTGCTTTTTTGAAGAAAAAAGTATACCCATCTGGGTGTAGCCCTCGAGCCTCTTGCTTTTTGGAACAAGGAGCTGGAGGGTCTTGTCTTGAAATTGTTTTGATTCTTCGTCGAAGGGCTCCCGAGCATATACCCGGGTTCTTTATCAAATAGAACTCGGATATAGTTCTGTTCGGGTTCTTTTTGTCGTGAGGTCTTGAAGTGGTCTGTCTTGAAGAAGTCTTCTGGGTGATGTGCGCTTTTTCGAAGAAAAAAGTGCACTCACTGAGTGTAGCCCTCGAGCCTCTTGCTATTTGGAACAAAAAGTTTGAGGGTCTTGAATCTTATGTTGTTTGAAAACTACTATCTTGAAGAAGTCTTCTGAGTGATATGCGCTTTTTTGAAGAAAAAAGTGCACTCACTGAGTGTAGCCCCCGAGCCTCTTGCTATTTGGAACAAAAAGTTTGAGGGTCTTGAATCTTATGTTGTTTGAAAATTGTTGTCTTGAAGAAGTCTTCTGAGTGATGTGCGCTTTTTTTGAAAAAAAAAGTGCACTCACTGAGTGTAGCCCCCGAGCCTCTTGCTATTTAGAACAAAGAGTTGGAGGGTTTTGAATCTGAGTTGTTCAAAGAACTAAAAACCTCTCCTGTTACAGCCCCCGAGCATATACCTGGGTTCTTTTATTAAAAAAGAACACAAAAACAGGATCTTGTCATGTTCTCTGATAGTCTGCTGTTGTCAGATGTAGTTGTATGGTGGTGGTTGAAAGTAGATGCTGTTTGTTCATGACTTCTACACTGTTGGTATATTCTTCCGAATATGCTCGTTCTTGAGTACTGTTCCTTCATGCCTGAGTCCTCTTTCATTGAATTTTATCTTTTCACTGTGTCCTTTATTACGTTTGTTCCGTTTGTGCTCTCGATCCATGTGCACCGCTTCTTTGGTCTATAAATACCCACCTGGTGTGTTGTTTTGATTCATCGAGCATTTTGTTGCGTGGTCTAAAATTTCCGTAGTCATGAATATGATAGTTTATGAAGTAGAGCAGCCCCCGGGCGTATTTTGTAGTTCTTGTGTATCTTGTCGTAGTTGGAGGGAGTCTTGTGATAGAGATTAGAGGTAGACTAATCCCGCAGTGGCATTGTATGAGAAAGTACATGGCGGTAGTTGGAGGAAGTCTTGTGATGTGGGATATGTTCCTTCATCCATCAGTTCTGGGTTGATCCTCGTCGCCTGCCCTGAGACTGGCCGGTGCAGATCAACACCATATCCAGCATCATATTGGACTTGGGTAGACAGATGCCTGCCGGCCTCCTCTAGTCCATGTTGTCTCGCCGTGCTGCTTATTTCTGCCTTGGATGTACTACGTTCGTCCTTTGAAGAAAATAGTGTAGCCGAGTGCGGTTTGTTCTATCGAGTAGCAATTTGGAACACGTAGTCGTTCTAGAGTCTAGTTGTGTCCGGGTTCCTCTTTGCTACCTTGCTTGTCGTAATAGTACCGAGTTCGTTGGGTCTTGTAAGATGTGTAATCTTATATTTTTTAAAGCCATTTATAATGGAAAGAATCTTGTCTTCTGAATTATCATTCTTTTTTCTGCTGAAGTCCTGATTGTTTATGAGATTCCCGAGTTCTTTCTATAAGAACCGGGTTCTTGTATTTCTTGTGAGGTAACCCTTCGGTGGTTCATGGTTGATGAGTTCTTTTTGTAGCAATATGATAACTCTGTCGTTGTGCTAGATGGATAAGTCTGAAATCTGCCCGTTGAACTGTACCGTTGTGTAGAAGTGTGCCATCCGTCATTTCAGCTGTGCCAGTTGTTGTGAGAAATAAATCATTGTGTTCTCATGCCATGTTTAAATGGGCCTGGTGGGCCGTGTTTTTATTACTGTAAAATCTATTTAAAGGCCTTTCTTCTTATTTTTCTTTGCTGCTCTACTTTTGCCTTGAAACCCTAGTCTTCAAAACTCTACCGCCGCCATTGTCGCTGTCATCTGAGCGCCGTCGTCTGAGCCTCATCATTTCTTAGTGCTTTATTGCTTTCACTAGTATATAGGTAGGAAGAAGTCAGCGAGCAAGTCCCAGGCAACCTTTGTAAACGAGGAGGCATAGCTTTCTGTGATTGAAAATCAAGAATTTATGGTCATGAGGGCTGCTCAGAAGATCTGGCCAGCTCCGACTATGACTGAGGATCAGTTGCGCGAGCTTATCAGTGATGGTCTGATCCAGGGCAAGGAGTTTGCTGATTGGAAAGCTCCAGGCCAGCATCGGGTCCCAACTCTAGGTCCTGATGAGATTGTTCTTTTTGTCTCCTTTATCCGTGCTGGACTCTGCCTTCCTGCTTCTATTTTTCTTCATCAATTTCTCAGTTATTTTAGGATTAGCTTGAACCATCTTGCTTCCAATGTTGTCCTTTATCTTTCTGTTTTTGTTCATCTTTGTGAAACTTTTCTTGGAATTCCTCCTTCTCTTTCTCTCTTTTGTTACTTCTTTAAATGCGAAGCCACAATCCCCACCGCGATGACACCCATGTTCTTGGTGGTCTGCGGTATTCGGGCCATCGTCGGTCTTAAGAGTAAATTCTTTGATTATGACTTGGTTGATTCTATGAGGGATTGGCGTGCCGACTAGTTTTATGCCACCAATTTGATTCCTCCTCTTGCTGTTTGTTCTGGTTCTGGTCCCATGGTTAATGACCGATGGGAAAAGAATCCCCTGATGACGGATGAGCTCTAGGCGATCAAGCCGCTTTCTTGAGAGGATATGTACTCAAACAAAGAGGGCTTGACCGGCTTGATATCGTTTCTAGTTTTCTTCGCCACCGAGTTCACCTCTCTCCAAGGAGCG